CATTTCGTCTGTAAATCAACATCCAACATCAACATCATAAAAATGCACTACTTTGCAAGTCAAAATTGAGTATTAGCACATAAAAATAAGAAGCAACGAATTGAAAAGTGCATTGATGAGAAGGTTTGACGAAAGTGGAAAGATGAAGAGGCAAAGGTAGTGAGCTCTAATTCTAGAGGAAAATTTCGATGTCACTCTCTAAAGATGGTGAGAGATTATGCCTGCCTGTGTTTCTTTTTCCACCCATTTGTGCCAAGGATATGTGTGATTTCGCTGGTAATCATAACGAAAAAGTGAATTTGCGTGATGACAAGGAGTCATGAAGAAGAAATGTTACACATGCTCTTGCCGGAATCGATTTTACTATGGTCAGAGTTGCCTCTTTCCATTTCATATTCATCCCTACAATAAATAGGTTTCGAGTTCACCGCAAATGATGCGGATAACCACGTCGGGTTCACTGTCGCATCGTCGTCGGCATCGACGTTACCAGTGTGGTCGGATGTTTCCCCTCATTCCATTTCTTAGTCGGCTTTGGGGACATTTGGAAGAGAAACGTGTGGCTTGCAAAATGACGGGCAAAATAGGAAGGGTAAAGCTTTACAAGAAATTTCCCATTTTGGCTCCAGTGATATTTTGATTTTGAAATGTCAAAATATCGCCACATCAGATGATGTGAACCATGTATGAACCATTGGGTACATGTAGACTAATCTTAATTTCTTACATTGTGCTGTTGTTTTGGTTAATTCTTTGGGTTTTATCATAGATGGATTGCATTATTTGGCTAGCCTTTGGATTGCTTTATTAACATAAGTTTGGCGATTGTTTGGGTGCAATATCTAGGTTGATTTATTAGCATAGTTCGGATGACTCTAGTAAAATTGGTTCATTAATTTTATTGTGGGTTGAAATTTCTTCCTTGGCATTACGCTAAAATTTGGGAGAAATATTCTTTTACTCAACTTCTTTATAAACAAATTTTGAAGAAGATGACATGAGAATGACTAAAACGTGAAAGTGAGTGAAGACATGAGAGTGTAGATCGCTGATTTTGGTTGCTCAGGTGATGAGCTAGAGTTTTTGGATACTCAGAAGATGATCATCTTTAAATTTTTTGCTATAGGCTTTTTTTGTGGGATTTCTCCCAACTATATCATCTTGGCTAATGATATATTGCTGATTTTTGGTCGGTACATTGGTGTTAGAATTTTTGTTGGAACATGAATTATGTGTTTGACTGATTTTTGGGGTATGATCTCTTTGGAGTGTTCTTGGGGTGGCTTTGAAGTAGTTCTTAATTGTTTCTGCACTATTCATTGTTCTTAGTATCTCGTCATCACTAATTTTCGTAGATGATTACTTTGATTTGAAATTCTTCTTCGTGAGCACAAGTATTGTCACCTTTGTTAGTTCATGATTGCAAATCGATGCTTTTGCTAGAATCAATTTGAGGGAAAATATCAATGAGATTGTTGAAAATTACGGCAATATTATTATTATAATTAGTAAATATAGATAGATTGTTTTTACCATATTTAGTTATGATTTTTGTTATATATAATAGGAGAACCTATTATATCGAGAGATATGGAGTCTTGTTCAGTATATCTGACACATTCGAGCTTCACAACATTTGGGATGGGTTTGGAGTGAGGTGAGGAGACAGATAGGGGAGAAATGGATAAGGAAACCGGTGGGGTGGGGTGGCGTGGGATGGGATGTAGTCGGATATACCTGATTTTTGATGAAAAAAATATTGGTACCTTTTTGAAGTTGAAATTTTAGAAGTAGGGTTTGTCATAATTTTCCTTTTTGTCTCACTTGGAGTGGACAGTAAAAAAAATTTTCTTTTCATTCATCAAATTCTTTAATCCCATCTTCATGCCAAGACTGATTTTGGTTGGTTTGAGTTTTGTTTTCATCAGGAAACATGTAGTTTTCTTATCATTTATACTCCTTTTTCCCCTAAGTTTTGTGGCTAAATTATGAAATATCGATAGATATGTCTCCTTGTAGTTATTGAACATCTTAAAGTTCTTGAGTTTCATAATAGCATAGCTGGAATGTGTTTTGTGTTTCCCAAAGGGAATTGGTGAGCACAAGTTAAAATAGTATTGGTTTCGAAATCCCAAGTCAGCAAGAAGGAAGAAGTAAACAATGGAAGCTGCTCGTACCAAGAAATGCCGCATTTGCTGGTTTTTTCCTACCCTCTCTGGAAAAAGTCTTCCCTCCCTTGCTGCATTAACTGCGCAGGAATATGAACAAAACACGTGCATCCAAACACTCGAAAATGCCTATAGTACTGCCCCAGTAAGAAGTTCGTGAGGCGAGAAGGCGGTGAAAGGGTATTGAGCTAAGAATGCTTATACAGGGCAACTATAGGGCTTATAGAGAATGAGAGGGGGGTGGATTTTTTTGCTCTAACTGGCTGTGAGCATGGGAATTGCGTTGCCGAGCAGAGGACAGAGAGGAATTTGGTGTTGCAGGATTGATGACCGGAAAAGGGTTGGGCGCATTATAGCCGTAAGTCCCATTTCCTTTTCAGGAGAAGCGCGAACCATGCGTCTTCCCGTTCGGAAATGTTTGTCTCCTTGTAGTTATTGAACATCTTAAAGTTCTTGAGTTTCATAATAGCATAGCTGGAATGTGTTTTGTGTTTCCCAAAGGGAATTGGTGAGCACAAGTTAAAATAAAGAAGAAAACAAAGGTAGAAAGTCAGCACAAGTTCAGCAAGATTCTATCAAGGAATATATCAAGGGAAAGAAGATTTACCAGCCAGTGGGCAAGGTATATACATTGATTAACATTCGTTATTGTTCTTTAGGTACCTTCTCGATTCGATCATCCTCTTCTCCTTTTATCTTTCTTTATTTTATAACGACACCTTGATCGAAAGACGACATAACACTTCGATGAGACTTCTGGCCATCAGCCTACGGAACAAATTGCAAGCGTAGAATTGGTCAAGTTGAGGGTACAATATCCAAAGGTAATTTTCGAGGCAGAGATGACCTAGGCTGTTGTTTTTAAAGAGCCATTCTCGTAAGAATCCAACGAGGTGGTTGAAACTTCAACCATGTGGAGGCCTTATATCTTTTGATTATGACAAAGGATATGTGAGTTTTATAGAATACCTAACTCCAATGAGATACTAGGGCCGGAGGCAAATGAGAACGCTTGATTGCACAACGATAAGTCATCCTAGGTGGATTATGACAGCCCCTCCATCCCCTTCTTTCGGTTAACCCCGAGCTCATAAGGTTTGATGCTAACACAATTAGACCCCATCGGATAGAGTCAGTTGGTAGGGTCATGGATGTTGTGGCGCGAGGAAGTTGGGGGGAGGAAATGCCCTTTTTTTTGTAATTCAAACTATTTACAAGCGAATAATGCCCTGAGTACAAGACACTATTCATGTAGGGGCCTTACAAGCCCCTTACTGTAGAGGGCGAGTCAGTGGGTCAGACCTAAATTTTAAGAAAAAGTCACGCTAGCGCCGCACCTTGTGTCTGTCCTGGCAGAGGCCTGTGAGCCTCTGCCCTGTATGTGAGGCATGGTTCTTTACCAGCCAATGATCATTGGCTCTAAAGATAAGGAAGTGCAAAAGGGGTGGTACTATGTCAGTCTCTAGGACTCTTGTCGTACATTCATGCTAGGCTTATGATAAGTATAACTTTACATTTATTCAAGCTATCAAAAGTGGCATTTGGGAGTGCTAATATTGATCAGATACTTAATTTTGTTTATTTTATGATTAATTTAGGAAAAAAATTCAAATTGGACTAGTTTGGATGAAATTGGATTGGAGCTATACAAGATTGGGAAATTGAAACCAACAAAATCAAGATTTGAAGTTGAGGGACTTCGTTGCAATTAAGAATGACCGAAGCTGAACGAGAAGTTGGAGTTAAGGACCAAAATACAGTAGATTGGAAATTCCAAGGGCCAAAATGTGAGCGATCGCATAGGTTGATTTTTGAATTTCGAGTAGCAAGTGACCTTATGTTGTCGCAGCTAAATGCCCTATACGATTGCCTAGGGTAATGGAAGCTAAAAGTCCAGATTTTTATTGGTTTCCTAGGTTGGCTCAAATTCTACACGTGAAACGTCATTTGACTCGTATTTAGACCAATTTTTGATATTATATCTAGTTTTCATTATTAATTTATTCGAACACAATTATAGAGAGAGAAACATATAGCAAATCAAGATCAAATTAGCACAATCTAGGATTTTTAAGATTTTGGGCTTGAAGAAGAAGATTCTTGAAACAAGATCTACTCTTTTCTTTCATCTTTGATTCAAAACTCAGTGATGAACTTTATTCTTTTTAGTTATTTTTCTTTCGTTAGTATGGGAAGGTAATCATTAGTTTGCACAGTACTATGTGTGATTATTTATTTTTAAATTTTAAGATTCTTGTAGTTTAATTTTTCATGTGTTGATTTTACTTACAATTTTTAATAATAAGATTGATTTTCCACTATTTAATTAAATTGTGATTTTGTTACCGATCAGGAGATAAGTTATAGATTTAGACTACAAAGTAAAATTCGAAAATTTGGATAAAGGGGTAGAGATACACTTTTATGATTATAATGGTTGATAATAGGATTCTTAGAATTTGAATGCATTTGGTTAAAATTTATTCGGATTCACTTAGAAGTGTAGTGAATTGACATAGCTAAATAGAATTAATTTGAACTTTAGAGAAATATTATTATTATTATTATTATTATTATTATTATTATTATTATTACTACATTTTATCTCCTAATCAAACTATCAAACCACCTGTTGAACGAAGGAAAGCATTTCGTGAACTTTGTCACATCTAGCAAAGTGAAGGCAACAAAGACCTAAGAAGTGTGCAAGTAGGCAAACCTTTCCCTTCATCCATGCTATTTCCAAACTAGTAAGTAAATGCACGTGGGCCAATAAATAAAGCGTGATTCTTAAATTGAATTAGTTATAAGATAATCAATAAAGAGCTGCCACATGCCATTCTCTCAAAATGATCGAATTATCTCTAAACATTGAAAGAAATCTATAGATACAACCTTACTTGAGGAGAAACGTATGCAATTCAAATATCTCCCTTCCAAATAGCAATTTCATCTCTTGCTTCAGTTTGAGGACAAAAGTAATGAGAATTGAAAGTGAACTTCCTGTTTAGGTGAGAGAATTTATTGATTCAATTTCTACTTTTAACAAATTGGTACCATCTATGAAAAACTTGAATAAAGTAGACCACAAATTTCCATGCTTTAAGCTAAGAAATCCATGAAATCTAATGAATGAAACAAACAAGGAAAAGTCAAACATTAACTGGAGTGCTGAAGAATGAGAATCCGAAGATGCCTCAGACCAATACAGAGTAAACTCGGCAGCAGAGACTATTCGAAAGATAAACAAAGGTCTGAAAGCACAATGATGAGAAACACTGCTCTGCTCTGGAAGGTTTATAGGTAATACACAATTCTTGACCCTTCAATTTTATCTATCAAACTTAGAATTAAAATTTCAAGAATTGGAGATGAAGTAGTCATAATCGAGGTAGCAATAGCAGTGAATGTTTTCACTGTATACTCCTGAATAATAAAAGCACAAAAAGTGCTATACAATGAAGAATTCGACTGAATAAAAAAAAAAAAAAAAACCCTTAGATCCTTGTGTCGAATCCTCACCACTTTACTAGAGGAGACCCCGTCGCTGATAGGCTACTTTTTTAGTGAATATAGGAGAGGAGAACCAGGAATACCAAGAATACATGAACTTTGACATCATCAAGGGTAAATCTACGTACGACAAAGTCCTTGGACAACCTAACCTGAAGTAGACGACCATAGTTATCTCCCTCTATCATTTGCATATGAGATACTCCACGAATAAAGGTGAAGTGTCTTTAAAGTAAAATGAATGGATCTTATGTAGGAACTGCAAAAGCAACAAAAAAATGAGGTCTGAGAGCTCCTAAGATTATCATCGTTGTAGTTGAAATGAGTAACCTCGAGGATAAACTAGAAATTGATGACTCTAAAGACCCCGCATAACTGAGTGTACATCAGAAGCAACAATGATCGAAGTGCTAGAAAGTTTATCTGTTAGCTCAAAAGATTCGAGTAGAGCTCTAAAAATCGGTAAGGACTTAAGTGAACCTATGAAAGGCTTGCTATAAACTTCATAGCTTTGAACCTGGATGCGTTCACCTGGAAACATACAAAAATGATAGGGATCGATCCTGAAGTTTCCTATCAGAAAATGGCTTTATCTGCGAAGTTCACTACCCAGTTTAGATATGCAATCCGATTCTAGATTTTATGGATTTGAATAAAGCTTGTTCTAAAAGACTAGTTTTCGTTCCTTGAAATTCATTAGCTAGTAGATGCTACGAAGTGATGTCATTTTGGGCTAAAAAATGTGGAGGACTACGTATCAAATGCTAGTGAACAAAATGTTCGCAAACCAAATAGAGAAAACAATGGAAGCGTACGACGATATGCCTATAAAAAGCCTTCAGGCTAGAGGGTATTTGAAACACTTAAAAGAGCCTTTCAATGTATTGCAAAAGTACAGAATGAAACTCAATTCATTAAAATGCATGTTTGGAATAAAATCTAGAAAGCTCTTTAGTAATATGGTCAATCAGCAAGGTATTGAAGTGAACTTCAACAAAATTCAGGCCCTCAAAAAATGCAGTCCCCATCTAACCCAAAAGATGTGCAAAGCTTAACAGTGATGGTCGTCACCCTAAGTAGGTTTGTATCTTGAGTAATAGACAAATGTTCTCCTTTTTCAAGTGCTGAAAGGAGGAAAGAAATATATGAACATGAATTCCAAGCGTTAAAAGATCACCTGGGAAAAGCATCTCTATAAGCTAAACCTGAGAACCAAAAAAAAAAAACTATTGCTATATCTAACAGTATCCAAGGCAACGGTCAACTTGGTACTCGTAAAAGAAGAAGGGCACTGATTGGAAGCACAATTGACCTTTTTTTAGTCACTCAAGGAGAATAAGATGAGTAGAAGAATGAGCCAAAGACAACTAACCCTCTAACCTAAGCACAATAGTAATAAACGAAATCTTAAAAAGCTGAAAATGTTTCTGGAAACAAGTAAACAAAGGTGAAACCTTGGCTTCTTTTTCTTACCCTTACTATGTAAATAAAGTCTTGTAAGGACTAGATGTAAGATATTCGAATATGAAAAAGTTGGCCTTTACCTTAGTTACGATGTTGCAAAAGCTGTGACCCTATTTCTAGAGCTATAGCATTGCAGTATTAACAAATTTCCCACTCAAACAAGTGTTGCAAAAGCCTAACGTGTCAGGAAGATTAACGAAATTGATAGTAGAGGTGGGACAATTTGAGAAAAAAACTATTAAGGATGATCCGTAGTTAAGCACTTGCATTAGCTGACTTTATTGCAGAATTGTCAGATGTTCCTATCCCTGAGAAAGAGCTAGAACAGGGAACATAGAATTTGTCTGTGGATGGATTATCGGGAGATAGAGCACAAATTGAATTACGCATCAAAATTCACATTTGAAGCAACTAATAATGTGGGCTGAATATGAAGCACTATTGGTAGGCCTATGGCTGGCAAAAGAAATGCATGCTCGAAATATTGAAATAAAAAGTGACTCATGGTTGTAAACCAATTAAACGAGACATTCACTTCCAAGGGTAAAAAATGGTTGTATATCTCACGGAAGCCATAAGGTTACTTTAGTATTTCGACAAGTTTGAACTTACCTTAATTCCTAGAAAGGAAAACGAGCATGCAAATGACTTGTTAAAATTGGCAAATTCAAAAGACGCATAACTGTTTAAAATAGTCTTCGTAGAATTGTTTTCAGAACTATCAATTGGCCAAAAAATAAAGAAAATCCTATGCATACAAGGTAAATGCATGGATTCAAGACATCATTTTTTTAAAGATGGAGTACTCGTTGAAGATACAAAGATAGCCCAAAAATTGTGAATAAGAGCTGCTAGGTATACACTGCAAGGTGATATCTTATTCAAGTGAGTGTATAGACTCCATCTCTTTAGATATATAAGCAATGACAAGGCTTGGTGTGTGATGAAGGAGATCCACGAAGGCGTATGTGGTAACCTCACTAATGGACACTCTTTAGCATAAATGACCTTGAAATAAGGATGTTATTAGCATAATATGAGAAAGGATGTAATGAACTTTGCTAGGAAATGTGAAAAATGTCAAACGTTCACACCTATTCTACGACAACCCTTACAAGAATTGATAATCGGTAGTGGTCTCTGGCCCTTGGTGATTTGTTTAACATGCTTACTATTATGGTGAATATAGTGGGTGCATCATGTAAGCGTGTAGATACTCTTCGAACAAGTTATCATTTTGAGATTTTGATGAAACTTAATATTGGGAAACTTTGAGGTGGCAGTAATAAGTTTCAAAAATGAGTTTGGCTCGACATTAAAAGATAAAGGCATTTATCCTGCCGATCAAGTGGTGACAGATATTCAAGGAAAAATTTCTTTTCATTGTCTACGACAACTCTTCAAAAGCCACATTTGTAGCTACTGTGGTAGTTTCATAATATTAAGTTTTTGTTCCATTTAGAATCTAGGCTTATTCTAATCGGTAATATATTTTTGAGACAAAAAATATATTACTCAATTATATCTGGTACAGGATGTCAATGGGAGCATACCTTTTTTCTAAAGGTCATCTCGTTCTCTCCAATTATTAAGAAGTTGTGAGCCGTGACAAATTGCTCCATTTTCCAAAAGTATTACATTCTCAAACCTGTCAAATCGAGAATACATAAAAGAATTACAATAAAGCTACAAGTACAGGGGTTGGTTCACAGGCTGCTTACAGGATTTCAAAAATTTCTTACGTGGCACTTTAAAAACAAACAATCAAATAAAAGGAAACATGGCGGGGGAAAACACAAATTTTTTTTCCCACCATTCTCACCCCCGAGCTCCCCCAAATTGGAGATAAGCCCGACGACTGTGAAGACCAAATATGGCGTAAGAAGGGCAGGAAATCACAATCTTTAAATCCATTCATCCCCGTCGACCTCCCCCAAATTGGAGATAAGCCTGGCGACTGTGAAGACTAAATCCGGCAGGAAATCACTAATTTTCCCACCATTCACCCCCATCGACCTCCCCAAAATTAGAGAGATGCCCGCACCCGTCAAAACCGAATCCGACGTCTTCTGACTGTAAATCGATTAGCGCAGCCATTTCGACGGCTTATTCCGGCTCTGAGATCAGTTGTGTATATTAAGCTCAACACTTTTTGTCTGATTCACTTTTTAAATTTTCTTTTGACGTGTTGGCTGCATTTTTAATGAGGTATTTGAAGTTTTACATGATAAAGTTTCGAGCTGTTTGTTTAGTTATCGGGCATAGCTGCCATTATGAAGTTAGATGTAAAGGATCTGGTGTTCACGAGACTTTTCACATAGATTCAAGTAAATTTCATAGTTGCTGTTATTTGGATTTGCTTATGATAATACTTTCTCATATCATTATCGGTGTAAAGCTATTTTTTATTATTATTATTTTTTTAAATCAGAGCACGTCTTAATTACAGAACTTCATTGTTAATATGAATTTAAGTCCCTTCTTGCTTCATTTGAGTTATATGGTTTCTAATCTCATGATGAGATGAAGGAATGTTGGAGTTTGTCACAATTATAGAAGCGTGTTGCACTACCTCGAGGACTGCCCGAGAGAATGTCAATGCCGGTGGTGTGAACATGGATATAAAAATTGCGGGTTGATACTCATTCAAAACATGCAGAAATAACTGTAGCTATTTTGACTGGATTGTGCTAGGAGTAAATTTCATAGTTGCTGTTATTTGGATTTGCTTATGATAATACTTTCTCATATCATTATCGGTGTAAAGCTATTTTTTATTAGTATTATTTTTTTAAATCAGAGCACGTCTTAATTACAGAACTTCATTGTTAATATGAATTTAAGTCCCTTCTTGCTTCATTTGAGTTATATGGTTTCTAATCTCATGATTAGATGAAGGAATGTTGGAGTTTGTCACAATTATAGAAGCGTGTTGCACTACCTCGAGGACTGCCCGAGAGAATGTCAATGCCGGTGGTGTGAACATGGATATAAAAATTGCGGGTTGATACTCATTCAAAACATGCAGTAATAACTGTAGCTATTTTGACTGGATTGTGCTAGGAGAATCAAGTGGCGAATCAAGTCTCAATAATGAAACAATGAATCAGGCAACGAACGAGGACGTCGAAAAATTTGTCAAGCATACTTGAAATGCTAGCTCGAACAAGCGAGAAACGAAGTTCCAAGATTTTGTTGAACGTGACATTTCGCAAGGGAAAATGGTGTGATGAAGGGAATTGGAAAGGGGTTGGCTGGATTATGTTTAATAAATTGAAAGGGTTGTCTAGTTACGTTTGTAGTACAAAGACTAATAGTGTTGCATTTTGTATTTCCATTGTTCTGTAATGTCATAATTAGTGTGGTGCTACATTTTGGATGATGTAATAGAAGTTATTTATAATCAAATTGCAATGGTAAATGTTGTGAACCACGAATGTGAAGGTCTATCATTCTATATTCATCATTCTAGTAAATGTTATGGATTTCTATAGTGCTTTGTTGAACACTCCTTAATCCTTTTGTGAGTAATATAAGTCAGAATATGAGATCTTATACACAAACATGAGCATAAAAATAAGAATATATATTAACAAAAAACCACTTTGAAACCATGCACAAGTAACAATTCGACCAACACAATTTTTATGATAAATGCTGCTACATCTACCTTAACACATATCAGTGGCTCCAAGCACATGGATGACAATAAAAATGAAAATCAGCCAGCTTTACATCCTCTGCTACATCTACTTTAACACATATCAGTGGCTCCAAGCTCAAAACTTTATCATGTAAAACTCCAAACACCTCCTTAACAACGCTGCCAACACGTCAAAAGAAAATTTAAAAAGTGATCACACAAAAAGTTCTGAGTTTAATATACACAGCTGACCTCACAGCCGGAAGAAGCCGTCGAAATGGCTGGTCTAATATATTTACAGCCAGAAAACGTTGGATTCGGTTTTGACAGGTGCGGTCTTCTCTCCAATTTTGGGGAAGGCGACGGAGGTGAATGGTAGGAAAATTAGTGATTTCCTGCCTTCCTTAAGCTGGATTTAGTTTTCACAGTTGCCAGGCTTATCTCCAATTTGGGGGAGGTCGACGGGGATGAATGAATTTAAAACATTGTGATTTCCTGCCCTTCTTACGCCATATTTGGTTTTCACAGTCGCTGGGCTTATCTCCAATTTGGGGGAGCTCTACGGGGGTGAGAATGATGGGAAAAAAAATTTGTGTTTTCCCCCGCCATGTTTCCTTTTATTTGATTGTTTGTTTTTAGAAGTGCCACGTAATAAAATTTTAAAATCCTGTAAGGAGCCTGTGAACTAGCCCCTGTACTTGTAGCTTTATTGAAAGAATTATACTAGATGTACACTTTGGTGCACATCTTCAATGACATTCTCTCTATGTGGAGAAAATCTGTGTAATGATATGATGTGTTTCCTCAAAATCAATGGCGTCGATCATACTAAATGGTAGGGTGTAAAGAAAAGTTTACATGTAGCATAGTTTTACATAAAAGGGGGCACAATTTGATTGAATATTCCAAGCAAAATGATAGTCTGACATGGTCATTTGCACATACCCTGACCAAATTATCTCTCAAACAAGGGGACCCACACCCATTTTTAAGGACAAAAAAATGTCCACCTTCTCATTGTTTGGCCAGAGTCTTTGTAAATGACCTTGTCAGATCATCATAGTCCATATTCCAAAATTTATCCCATTTTCCTCATGATGCCTTTTCAATGACATTCTCTCTATGTGGAGAAAATCTGTGTAATGATATGATGTGTTTCCTCAAAATCAATGGCGTCGATCATACTAAATGATAGGGTGTAAAGAAAAGTTTACATGTAGCATAGTTTTACATAAAAGGGGGCACAATTTGATTGAATATTCCAAGCAAAATGATAGTCTGACATGGTCATTTGCACATACCCTGGCCAAATTATCTCTCAAACAAGGGGACCCTCACCCATTTTTAAGGACAAAAAAATGTCCACCTTCTCATTGTTTGGCCAGAGTCTTTGTAAATGACCTTGTCAGATCATCATAGTCCATATTCCAAAATTTATCCCATTTTCCTCATGATGCCTTTTTACCTTTTCTAGATGTCTTTGTACTCATAAAATTCCATCAGTGAGTTGAAAGCAGTGCCAAGAGTCTACATTATTGGTAAGATGAGTAGTAATGATTAATGAAATTCCACAGGTGTATGGTATCATAATCAAATAATAGAGCAGTTAATAAAGTTTCGTTCTTACGAGGGCTAATTACTTAATTTAGTTTTCAATTAATGTCTTGAATTGAGATGAATTTTATATTAATGATCTAAATTATACATTAAATTTATTAATTTAACTAATTAATATGGAAGTGTTATGAAACTCAAGTAATGGATAAATACTAGAATTACGAATTTTCATACTTTCATCCATTTTAATATTAATTCATAATATATTTGTGTATGAAGATGAGTGTTCTTAATTTATTTAATAATCTCTCAAGTAAAATAAAAAAAAAATCCTCACTAACTTTCTATATATTTATAAAAGATGCGAACATGCAAATATTCATTAAATCACAAGAAGATCTAAATGATCACGCAAAGGATAAAGGTATATCTCTATCTCTTATCGAACTTTACAATAATTGTTACTATGTGCTTCCTTCTCTCAAATATCAATAGAAATTACTAACAGTTCAACTAGTGATCAATTAATTGAAAAGAATTAAGTACCTAACAATCATTCAAAATCAAATTTATGCTTTAATGTCAAAATATAAAATTAAATATAAAAACTTTAAAAGTAGAGTTCAATGTTATCCTATCATCTATTCAATTATTCAATCATCATATTAATTACAAAAAAACACAAAATAATAGATACAACATTACTCAGATTTGAATAATTGGAATGATTATGGAATGAAGTCTTGATGTTCTTGAATCTCTTCAATGGCTTATTGATCCCCCTTTAGGTTCTTCTTATTCAACTCAAGAAATAGATGTACGAAAAAATAATATAGTGAATATGTTCCCTAAAAAGCTTATATAAAGCTTTGAATGGATATAAGGAATTTTTGAACAAAGCTTCCTTTTTTGGCTCTCTTCTAACAAGAAATATGATTTGTCTAATCTAAAAAGCATCATTAGGCTTGAATAATAAATGTATAATACATTCCCACAAGCACTCTTGAATTGTTGAATGAAGGAATGTATTTATGGGGGAGGATTTAGTTTAAAATCTATGTTCCAATTGGTTTTCAAGTAGAGTTTAAACTTTCAATTGAAAAAGGAAACAAAAATATAATTGTACGGATTTCCTAGATTTATGCTTTGGGATCGCAACTAATTCACTCCTGCGATCTCATGGAGTAATAACTTCTGTCCATGCTCAGTTTGGTCCCCACATTTCTTCTTTCATTAGACTTTATTTTCACATTTAATCCGTCATTTTTGAATCTTCTAAATTAAGTCCTCATCATCCCAAATTCATCAATAATTGATTTGACGCAAGTTTCGAAAGTTTGTAATTTACTCTCCAAACTTGCCAATTGTTGAATTTTAGCTCTCGTAACTTATGAGTTTCATTTGATTGCCTACACTTCCAATTGATCAACTACAACTCAGCTAATCTTCAAATGTTTCGAAACAACTCCAATTATGTTCCAAGTGCATTCAAATTAGAGTTTTAACTATAATTAACTATATTTACACAAAATTAATTAAGTAGAGATCCATTCAATTCATCATAAATAAGTAAAGAAACCCTGAATATGTGCATAACGTGCACTATTAAGATTTGTGGTTCCATATTAAAGATTAACTTTGTTAAGAAAAGTAGCCAAATCCCTTATATATGTTGGCCTATATTACAATATTTAACCCATGTTAAAATTTTCCTCTAACATGCTCCCATATCATGGTCCATACCTTGGTAATTAGTTGATGTGAAATTTCTTCTTAAAATGTCAGCTTTGTTAAGATAAGTAGTACAGTCTCTATTATATGTTGATTTATATTTTTGACATTTAACTAATGTGAGATTCCTAACTTGTCCTTTTTAAGATGGTGACTTGTTTGATGGGATAAATCTTAAAATTCGTGTTCTTTTTCTATTTTAAATCTTAATTATATCAAATTACTCATTTGAGTTTAATGAACTCCAACACCATATTAAGAGCTCGTTTAGCATACTTTTGAAAAGTCAAAAAGAGCTTTTGAGACTCAAAAACTATTTTTGAACCATTTAACTAATTTTATGAAGACCTTCTAGTATTTAGAAAAGCTCTTAGAGAAAGTTGGTTTGATGTAACTTTCTTTAAAAATACTTCCAAGATAATAAAAAAATTCTTTTAGAAATTAGCCAAACAAATATTAACGTAGCCTTATTCTTTAAAAGTCATTATTACAAAATATATTCTTCTTAACAATGGGGATCAAAACAAACCCTAATCTCTTACAACATCTACAAGAGATTCTATATTTAAAAAGAGCATTTTTTATATAATAGAAAGTATCTTTACATTTATAGATAAAACTATCTATACATTTCAACAATATTTTCTATTTTGACTCTTCGTAGTAATATTTATTGATTTTTATATTTTATTTAACAAATTCTTTTTAGATATCAATGACCAGTCAATTTAAATATGATTTGAATAATTTAAGAAAATAGGTTTTAAAACTTGTAGCTTATTAAATGCAATCATAATAAATTAAGAATAGAGAGTGGGTAGCTAAACTCACTCCTTAATTTAAAAAGTTAAAATAAAAAGTATGTTGAAACTTATTTTTAAATATTAAATCTTCAAAATAAAGAGCATTTTGCATTTAGAAAGTATCTTGAAGATGCTCTTTATTTTAATATTTAATCGATCTGCAATTTATCTTTAAACTTTTGATGCAAACTTTAAGGTGGACACAGTCTCTCGCTAGTCCAACACTACTGAATGTTTTCCTTGTGGAAAGGCTTTTGTCGCAATTCAAGGGTTCTTAATGTACGTATAACAACATTTTTTTCTTATAGTACCTGTAAATTAATGTTCTTTACTCTTGTAATTCACTTGTAAGCTCATTTGACGAATGAACTCAAGTTTACTGTTTACAGTCAGATAACTGTGGTTGTACGTAACTATTTACGTTGAATCAGATACATATACCAGCCGTTGTTATACCGATACATACTTGAGGCTGCTTTAACGAAAACTTTAATGTTCGTTAAGAAAAATCATCAAGTCTTGTCAGCAGCTCTATATACTATACTACTACGAACTACTCTATATATGACAGAACTTTACATACATGAAAAAATGAGATAAAACATTACTTGCTGGTATTAAATGCAGAAAGAAACTATAGCTGATTCAATCCTTTGCATCTGCAATTCCACCTGGAGTTATTTGAAAAACTTGCTTCTGTCAAGAAAAACTTATTTCAATTGATTAGAGGGAGTAATCATGACATGGAACTTCGTTCAGAAAATAGAACGGATTTTAATCCGCTATTGAATTTATTGGTATAAAATGTGAATGATATTCAGCTAAACAGTACAATAAAATGGGAAAGGATATTGCTTCAGCCTCGGGAAGATTTGGAGCATCAAACACCTTGCAAACGCGCTGTTCGCCTTTACCCTTCCTGAACATAAGCCTTATTGTGGCAGCATGAGCAAGCACATGCCCTCCTGCTGGCTTCTTCGGATCTGATATGAAGACCCCTCCTCCTGGATCAGCTATAACTGCAATCACAAGTTCATTCATACGAGTTAGCAATCCCAAAGAATACTAATTGTAGTGCCTTTCAACATCTGGGAATCTGCTTGGTAAAGTAAATCTCGAATATAATCTTTTTGTTACTCTTGGATGAAAAGAAAATCAGTAAGAGCAGTATACTGAGACTAGCTAGCCTACCCTGGTTGGTCATGTATACGGCAACGTTGAATTCTTCGGCAATCTTTATCAGTCTAGAGAGCATTTGAGCCAACTTTTGCTGTAAATGGTAACAGATGTGTGTCACTTGAAAATATGTTACAAGAAGATTACAAACCAATTGCAAATTGGTATTATCGTCTAACCTGGCGTTCTGCAAGTTCTCCTCTTCCAGTAAAGTCTACTCGGAAGAGAGCTATCACTGAATCGACAATCTGAAAAGTACAACTCCAGTAAATTAGTCATCTATCCACAGTAGTTGATTTATGATTAGGATGTTACTGCTGTAAATTAGCTTACCAAAAGTCTGAAGGGCTCTTCAGCCATTTTTGCTGCTAGACCAAGAAGCAGGTTGTACTGATGCTCATATGTGTAAGCACGAGCATATATGATCTTTCGTAGATACACACTAATCAGATAACCCAAAACAATTAAAACTAAGTTTAAGTGAATCGGGAAAATAATATTTTACATTGTCAAGTACAGCTCCTGGATCCATTCCAAATCTTTCGGCTATAGGTACTATGCGATCTGGTCGGCTGTAATTTCGTTCAATTAAGGTAAAAACAAATGTGCTATCTTGAACTGCATAGTTGAAAAGAGGAAGGAACATTCGGTTAAGGATACAAAGTTCCCTCAGTGTCAATGTAAGCAACCTTTCCATTGCCTCCTTTCATATTAGTAGGAAGCTGCAATATAAGTAACGAATTCATCCAAAGTTAAAAACAATGTTCTGAATTTGATTAGTGAGCTTTATGAATCTGAGTCACCTAAATAACTAATTAGTTATCACATAGCAATTAGATTCCAACCGCCATCTTCTAGACAAAATCAATAAATAAATGCAATAAATTTCGTCTTATAAAAAATCTCCATACAAGAGTTGGGCAGATGTCAAAATCCAAAAATAAATTTCACACTTATTACATTACTTGCCTGTGTGGAGACACAGAGAGTATGAGCCAGTTGTGTTTTTCCAGATCTGAATCAGATGATTGATTGAGGGCATACAGTTAGTTGCGAAATATTGTTTGATAATACAATTTTGAGATGTTTCAGATTAAAGCAATTGGGAAAACAGTCAAAATGTCACCTGAATTCCCCAAAAGCTTCTGTAATGCACAGAGTTTCGATCCCCCCTTCACAAATCCAAACACAGAAGCACAATCACAACTGAGTAATTTCATTTAATCAGTGAAGATTTATATAAATGAAAAGCAAGCTTGGGAGTCCAAAAGTTACCCCCTAGCAATTCATCCAGTGCTTGGCTTCCTGTTGTGATGCGAATTACAGCTTTTCTCTGTATAGTTAACAATAGTTAATATCAGCACCTCAACAAGACACCAACAAGACTAAACATATTAACAATTAAAATTTTCCATTAGAAACTGAATGAACTGAAATCTTACTCTGAGCAGAACATCACTTCCAGTGATATATCCAAAATTCTATAAGTTTCAGAAAGTTGAAAAAGAGAAAGCATCAGAATATACTGAACAACTGCATTTATAACTCTTATCTATAACCGAATTATGGCACTAACCACAATTTTCTCTGCAGCTTCACAGATCTTATCAACTTTTGCCTCGGACAATCCTTTGATTCCGGTCAAGCTCTATAAAAATTACACATGCTACATTTAAAATGCATTGGAAATTGGAATGTTTCAGATAAATGCAGTATCAAGTTGCTTGATCTCACCTTCTTAGTATGCATCATCAAGCCATTGCAGGTGTAGATCCCTGCATCCTGCAGTTTCTTCACATCTCCAGCATTGATTCCATGAGTTGTCACTGCAAAATATATGATGAAACGGAAGTTTAAGAAAAAAAGGTCCAAAAATTTCAGCCAACTACCGGACATTTCACAATTTATCTCCAAAACTGAGCAAAATATTTTTGGTACTTATATGTACAGTGGAGAATTTAATTTTAACTCAAATTCACTGCATAAAAATTAAAATCATCGTGAAATAACATAGCAAAATAGATATTATCAGTGTAGACATGCAAAGGATGTGAAATGAAGTAGGGAAAAAAAAAAAAAAAGATCGAAGAATATGCAAATGAAGTAGAAACAGAAGATCAAAAAATGTAACAAAAATATCCTAAAATAAATGGAAATTTAATAGCGGAATTGAAATTTAACATGCAAACATAAACCAGAGAAATTAGTTTTCAAAGCAGATTCAAAAACGACCGCCAGCTTGCGATATCTTAATAAACAGAAAATGAATTCACGGTGCTCATTCTTTTACAAATTAGCTTCCGAACTGAGCGAACTAAGTACCGATTAGCATAAATAGGAAAAGCGTGCAGAAATTTTGAATCCGCAACAAAATCAAGATAAAGGACAACGCCGCAAGGCTTATGCGATGGAGTTTATGATTAAAAAATTTACGTTTATCGATTGCTTCGAACAAGTCTTCTTCATCGTCGATCTCTTCTCTTTCGACGATCTGTAGCTGGCTCTGCTCTTCACTTCTGTTGCTTAAAATTCACACGAAAAGGTTGAAATTTATTACCGTGCACAAGAATAAGCTTTAGTCATTAAATTACTAACTTCAAAGTAATAGGTAAAAGGTAATTTACTTGAATGCTAGCATCTTTTGTTTTGAATCTGGAGTTTGAGAAAGAGTTCTTAGAAAATCGTTTGGGGAGAGAATTAGAAGTGGAGCGAAGTTCTGATTTTCGAATTCCGAATTCGGATATTTATAGATGACGGAACTGAGAGTCTATTGATTCAAGTTTTTTTTGGGGTACTTTTAATTTTGACCCGGTCAAAGGAGCAAAATTTCAATTTTACTTCCAAAATAATAAATATTATGACATTGGCCTCTTGTATGGTAAAAGACAAAGATACCCTTAAATGTTTTGTACAATTACAAAATCATATATTGTTGAAAGGACTATACTACCCTTTTACTTAATAATTGAAAACCAAACATTTCCCCACTTATAAAAACTTCAAAATGAGCTTCCAACATAGAAAAAACTCTCATCTTTTCATCTGCTTGAACCTCAAAATCTAGAAGAACTTTGGAACGTTGAAGCTGAAAAATTTTTTCACATCAATTACTTCAAATCGGTAAGTACATTTAATCATGTTTAATTTCGTTTTAAGTAAATTAGTATACGTTAAATAGAGAAATTTTATGTCGACATAGATTTTTTTTAACAGAACCTATAAAAAAAAATTAAATGGATGTATAACTTACGTTTAAATTACGCATGTTTAATTTCGTTTTTAGAACGGTATTCTTCTACGCCAAACTGGTTTAGCTTAACAAACAGTCGGAAATAGTCTGAAACAGCCGGCTGTTGGATGTTTAACAGCCGGGAAACAGCCGGCTGTTAAATATCCAACAGCCGGCTGTAAAACAGCCGAACAGTCGGCTGTTAGGCTGTTAAACAGCCTTCGCTGCAGCTGATTTTTTGCCTTTTTCTTTCTTATAATTAATATTTGAAGTTGATTAAAACCATTTCCTCATGCAGATATGATAATCCCCGTGTGTTATTTCGGTGATTTCGAATTAAATGAAAATAATCGGTGGGAATGGAGATGGACGAGTGACATACGTGGTTGTATTGCAATTCCCGTAACAGAGAGTACACCATATTTAGAAATGTACCACGATTTGCAAAATAAACTGAATGTCGATCAATCTCAATATGATATGCAATTGAGATATCTATTCAACGATTATGGGGATTCATCCATTCCGATGCCACCGGTATTCGTTATTAATGATGCTGAATTGAATTATCTATTAGAATTAAATAAAATATATCGGACTCCGACTGTTCTTGGTGTGACTTTAATTACGAAGGATATTATCGAAGGTGAACGTGAAGATTCGGATAGGGCGGATAACAATGATCGAGGTTTTTGGGAGACAGTGGAGATAGTTCCTGCGGATGATGTGGGTATTCCTGAGACAGTTGCTTCTGATCGTGATGTCGCTGTTACGCGCAGAATTCCATCAACAGTTGAAGACAATGAGAACATAAACGACTTTACAAATGAGAATTTGATTGCTTTATCCCGACAGAGACACTAGCCTGGTGGGAGCTCACAGGTTGGAACAAGTGGACCGTCCTCGAATTCTTCCCGTGTGGCTCCCGATGATGAGGACTTGCAGGTCGGGCAATTGTTTGAAACCAAGAAAGATTTCCAGGAAGCTGTGCACCGACTGGCATTAAAATATAACTTTGAGTTCAAAGTAAAGAAATCAAACAAGTCATTGTTGACAGTTGCTTGCGTCGAAGACAGTTACAATTGGCGCTTGAGAGAAACTAAGATGGACACGAATGAGTGCTTCGTAATTCGCAAGTATTTACGGGAACATATTTGCGAAGTGGGAATTCTTCGAAACGATCACAGGCAAGC